AGAAATAAGTTAAATCCATGGAGGTCATACATGAAGATGGCTGCTGGTCTTGGCAGCCTCTCTGCATGGCAGTCTTCCACAGTCTTCAGGACATTTCCTACCCCTTGATTTTGTTCATGAAAGTCAATACAAAATACTGTTACTACCAAAGACTGACTGCAAATCCCAGCAAAGGGGAAGTTGTCGTGGGCTCCTCCATTCCCTGCCTGATGGAAAGACCACGTACACTACTGACATTCTGTTCTAGCAGCACTTTGTGAAACATAAGATGTAGGGCAAGGGTAAGACCTTAATTGCAACAATTTTGATATTTTAGATAGCTGTATACTGCTATACCTGAGCTTTTGAACTAATCGTTGCAATACTAAATTTAGGATAAGTGCTCAATTAACTCTACAGATTCCTAGGAAAGTTTTGCACTTTCTACTTAATATCATTCTATCATGAACATATTGCCAGAAGATGCTCAAGAGAGCTACTTCATGCAATTACCCCACTCATTACATTTACTGCCAAAATCCTGGTGGAACCCTTTTGCTACCACCTTCAATTTCCAATAACTTCCATTCCGAGAGCCTCCAAGACAAAGACTGGCAGGTTTTTACCCTTTCTAAGCAGAGGTCAAAGAGATTCAGTCTGCTCCTCTCCTGGCCAGCCCACAGATTAGGATGTGAACATGTAGGTTCTCAGCCCACTCATTTCCCTGTAAAAAGTGCTGAACTCCCCTTCCAGAACAGGCAGCATGCTTAAAGGTGACTAATATTGTATTCCATGTTGAAAATGTGCTTAATTACAATGTCATGATTTTTTTCCACAGTGAACCAAAGAGTGATCCTTGTACTATTTTTTCTCATAATAATGGAATAGTTTGGCAACAATATCACTCACCAGCTGTCGATGGGATTTGGTTTTCTCCTAAAGAGAGGAGACATTTTTCAATTGTCCATTTTCTAAAAGCTGTGGAGATTGGTGGGCTTTTGCCAAGGAAAGAGATGAGTCAAGCTTCCAACAGATAGTACATGCAGATCTGCTGGAAGGGAATTAAGCTGTTCCTGGGAAATAGCTGTGACTTCACAGCCTGACACAGGCAGCGTGGTCCGAGCAGAACAGGCGTTAGTACATGAATCATGGTGGAACAACAGGTAGCTCCACACAAAATGTGATGTCACTGTTACATCAATGTTTGGGGCAGTATAAAAGAGAATAAAGGTAGAGTCAGAGTGCAACTGGATTATTCAGCCCAGTGACAAGTTAAATCCAGAGTTCAGAGAACAGCAACAAAGATGGTAAAGGGTCTGGAGGACAAATCTTACAAGTGACTGAGGGAGCTGAGATTGTTTAGCTTGGAGAAAAGGAAATTCAAGGGAGATTTTATTGCTCTCTACAAGTGCCTTAAAGGAGGCTCAGGCGAGGTCAGTATTCAACGGTGGGGAGATGCGCTCCACAGTGGCCCACAGTCAGTCTCTTCTCTCAGGCAACCAGTGACAGGAGGAGAGGATACAGTCTTAAGCTGCACTAGGGGAGGTTTAGGTTGGAAATTAGGAAGAATTTCTTCCCAGAAAGAGTGATTGGGCATTGGAATTGGCTGCTCAGAGAGGTGGTGGAGTCAATGTCCCTGGAGGTGTTTAAGGAGAGACTGGATGTGGCGCTTAGTGTCATGGTCTAGTTGACATGGTGGTATTTGGTCATAGGCTGTACTTGATGACCTCAGAAATCTTTTCCAACCTAATTTATTCTGTGAGTCACAGAAATATTCCCCTGCTGTATTGCCCTCTATGGCACAGCCCAGAGAAATTAAGTAAGTCAGAGACAAATTTCAGAGCATCCACTGTCCCTGTAAACCTTTGGCAAACAAAGGTGTGCCAAATCAAATTGCTGCAATTTGGTTCTGGCTGGAAAAGAAGATTGGAAAAAAGACAGTGCATAAAGAAATGGAATAAGGTAGCCTCTGAACATTATTAAGGAGCTTTTTCTTGTCTCTGTAGCTGAGACTTAGATGGGAGGAGGACACCAGGAATGCTTGGTAGCCTTTCCAGGCCCTGTGCTACCTTGGTCTGTGACTTGTTCCACTAAAACTCTGATGGAGAAACTTTTCACTTCCTAACTGCTCACTTCCTATCTGCCTTCTGGGTGTCAAACTAGCCACTTACCTTCAATGTCTGCTGCAATAAGTAGAATACCTGAGTTGAATATATGGCAGAGAAACAACACAACACATTCAGAAGTGGAAAGACTTGCTTGTTTGGGGATCCAGTGACCCAGTAATATAATGCTTCTGCTCCACCATCATTTCCAGAAAAGTATTCAAAGGCACCTTTTCTAGAGGAAAATGTCTTTCTTACAAGGGTAACTCCAGTATAATTCAGGAGGTTATTGAAAACATGGTTTCTGAGGGGTAGGATTCACTGAATGAGGTGCCATGAAATTTTCAAAACTGAAATCCAGATTTCCAGAGTTGTGTTCTTTGATGTAATTAATCTAATACAGAAGCTTCATTCATGAAGGTTGGTTACCGTTTAGTTTCCATCTTAAGGGCACTGAGACACAGCCCCCATCACCACCAAAATAAAAAAGTGGTCAAATAGGAAGATATGACAAGGGCACACAGATTTTGGACCACTCCAGCAAAAGTGCATCCTAATTCAGATGGGGTGTTGGTGCATGAAATTTGTTTTTCCTTTTAACTGATATTAAGTTAAATATTTATAAAAATGTAGTGGCTGTGTCCTTTTCTCCAGCTGGGAAGCTGCAGTGGTTAGAGGCTGTGATCTCACTGATTCTAAGGAAATACAGCAATAGCATCAACTGCCAAAGAGATGGCAGTGAGCCAGGCCAGTTTCACTCATAAATTTCTCCTGCTGATGTATGCAGAGCTGTCAAAACCCTTGGTGAGTTTCATTGAGAACTGGGGGAGTTTTACACCACTTTCCAGTGACAGGGTACAAGCATCTTCCGTTATCTCCTTAGAATAAGCTTCAGTAAATTAATTTTTCTACTAACATTTGACGAAGGTTTTCTCAGTAAGAATTTTCCATTAAGGAGAGAAATGTTAATGTTTCATCAGCAAAGACCAATAGTGTGACACGAGGCCAGTTTAAGCTGGGGTAGAGTTAATTTTCTTCACAGTGGCTGTGGGGCTGTGTGTATGGGGCTGTGATTTGGATGTGTGCTGAACACAGGGTTGATAATATAAAGACGTTTTTGTTATTGCTGAGCAGAGCTTATACAGAGCCAAGACCTTTTTTGCCTTTTGTACTGCCATGCTGGTGAGGGGACTGGGGGTGGATGAGAGGCTGTGATGAGAGACAGCCAGGACAGGAGACCCCAGCTGACCAAAGGGATATTCCAGACCATGGGGCATCACATCATGCTCTGTATATAAAGTGGAGAGGAAGGAGGAAGGGGAGACATTTGGGGTGGTGGTGTTTGTGTTCCCAAGTACCTGTTAGACGTGATGGGGCCTGGCTGTCCCAGGGATGGCTGAACACCTGCCTGCCCATGGGCAGCAATGAATTAATTCCTTGCTTTGCTTTGCTTGTGTGCACAGCTTTTGCTTTCCCTGTTAAACTGTCTTTATCTTAACCCATGAGTTTTCTGGGTTTTACACTTCTGATTCTCTCCCTGATCCAAATGTAGGGGAATGAGAGAACATCTGCATGGGACTTGGCTGCTGGCTGGGGTGAAGCCATGACAGTCAGCCAGTGCTAAAACTCAGCACTCCTGCATGTGTAAGGGAATTAGGAAAGATTAAAGCTTTGGGGAAAATATGAAGAAATAAAACTTTCCTAGCAGAAAGGCCCAAAGCCCCAAAACCAATCTAAAAATCTGTGGTTACATTGTGTGGTACATGGTAATTAAATAAGAGGGAAGCTGGTTCTGGGATGAAGCAATCACCCACACTCATGGGAAACAGCCATGTTCCATGTTCTTCCAGACAAACCCGAAACACTTGTAGGGTCTTGTCCAGTTTTGCATGGTGTCTTACCCTGCTACATTGTAGCAAAAATAACCATAATTAAAAACAAAGTAGAAGAAAGATTAGACTTGCAGTTATAGACTTCTGAACACACAGCTACAGAGAGGAATGTGATAGTGCTTGTGAACTGCAATATAGGCTAAATATTTTCCAATTTTAATTCATATAAATTCTTTCAGAGAGTGTCATCTACACTTCTGTTCTAGCCTACAAGACCTGGAAGCTTATTACAATCCCACTAGTTTGAGATACAGCCTATGTTACCAGAGAAAATTCACTATGCTCAGGATCTTTTAAAAACTGTAGGGAAAAATATGGCTTGTAGCAAACCCTGAAGCTGGGAGAATGGAACACAATATTTAGTGCTATGACAAAATATCTATCACAGTTCTCATACGTTTAAACTGCAAACACCTGTTAGTCAATTATAATAGATTGAATATTAAGCGTGGTTTTGTAAAGAATCCAGTTGTAATGAGTTCTGCTCTGGGTGATGCTGAGAAAAGCCTGCTATGCAATTGCAATGTGACCTGCTGTTTTTCTGATTAGAGTTGTCTGGGCTATTTTTTAGCCTATGTTACCACAGCAAAATCTGCATATTTGCGTTTAGCAGATTAATCAAGGGTATGGCTACTTATTTAAGAAACCCTGGTCATTGTAATATCATCTCTAGAAAATAGGCAGTGAATTACCCTTGGGTTCGGGGTCATTGGTCATTACATTTTGTCATTGGGCATAAGGTTTACTTACCTTCAGTTCTAACATCAGACATAGGAATTTAAATTGTCTCATGGTTTGAATTATCAGTAAAGACATGAGCCTACAAAACATCAGTTAAATACTTTTGATGATGCATCTAACTGGTAATGTGGGCATTTGAAAATAGCATTTGGCCTCAAGAATTTTCATGTGGGCTTTGATAGTAATTCATTTTGTGTCTTTGGACAAAAGAGCTTGCATTTTAAATTCTCTGCCTGTACAATGAAGGGACCAGCTGTAGATAACCTACTGGAGACTGCCAGTTTGATTAATTATTGTAATATCCCTACAGCTAGCAGCCATAGAGTCAGCCAGGCATCACTGTTTCTTCACGCAGGGGAAGCTCATCATGGTTTCCTTCACAGAAAAAGGAAGTGGGAGAGGAGCCTGCACAATCCTGGAAAGCTGTGAGCAATGGCTCTTGCCCTTGGTCTGTGAGCAGTCACTGCTGTATTCTCTTGGCATTTTCTCTTTAGGGGCCCGATGTTACATTCTCTAGCCACAGCTCTCAAGAGGCACTGAACACCTTTGGGTGAGTTATTTGGTGAGTCATCTTCAGCCTGTGGAAAATCAGATCATAGACCTTAGGAAATTAGGAATGGATTTAAGGAGATAACATTCCCTTTTTTCTCTTCACAGGCTTCCCAGGAAATACAGTGATAGCCTTCAGCATTTTAGCCAGCTGCAAACCTTTTTATCTTTTCTGTTTCATTCTCAGCAGGTACTTCTGGTTTCTGGTCAAGGGACAGGCATTCCTATTCACTTTTTCCTCTGAAACAGAACAAAGTATATGTAAAGTAATGAGACTGAAACCACGTCAATCACTTTCAGGAAGATTGAGCAAAGTTTCCTGAAATCTAACAGGATGTGAAAGCAGCAGCAGCACTTTTAGCAGAACTGTGCAAGCTTCTGCAGCAGCAGCAGCAGCAGCAGATCTTGCTGAAATACCAGGCTGCCTGGGGAGCTTCTGTCCATGTAACACCCTTCTTCCAGTGACACCTTACGCTAGTTCATTGCTTTGTAGTTGTTGCTTCTTAAGGATTATTGGATGGCCCATCACAAGTGGTTCCCCAGGGTTCAGTGTTGGGACAAGCCCTTTTCCAGACCTTTATCATTGATCTGGATGAGGGGATTGAGTGCCCCCTCAGCAAGCTCACAGACACCAAGTTGTGCAGGAGTGTTGACCTGCAGGAGGATAAGATGGCTCTGGAGAGGGACAGGATAGGCTGGATCAGTGGACCAAGGCCAATAGTATGACATAACGGGGTGAAGTGCTGAGTCCTGCACTTGGGTCGCAGCAACCCCAGACAGTGCTACAGACTGGGGGCAGAGTGGCTGGAAAGCTGCCTGGCAGAAAAGGACCTGGTGGTGCTGGTTGACAGTGGCTGAACATGGGCTGTCAGTGGCCCAGGTGGCCAAGAAGTCCAGTGGCATCCTGGCCTGTATCAGCAATTGTGGCCAGCAGGATTAGGGAGTGATTTTCCCCCTGAACATGGCACTGGTGAGATCACACCTCAAATCCTGTGTTCAGTTTTGGATTCCTTTCTACAAGAAAGACATTGAGGTGCTGGAGTGTCCAGAAAAGGGCAACTGAGTTGGGGAAGGGTCTGGAGCACAAGTTCTACAAGGAACAATTGAGGGAGCTGGGGCTGTTTAGCCTGGACACTCAGAGACTTATTGCTCTCTACAACTGCCTGAAAGGAGGTTGCACTGAGGTAGGTGTTGGTCTCTTCCCCCAAGTGACAAGTAACAAGAAAGGAGGAAATAATATCAAGTTGCACCAGGGGAGGTTTAGATTGGACATTAGGAAATATTTCTTCACCAAAAAGGTTGTGAGGCATTGAAACAGGTTGTGCAGGAAAGTGTCTGAGTCACCGTACCTGGAGGTACTTAAAAAACGTGTAGATGTGGCACTTGAGGGCATGGTTTAGTGGTGGACTTGGAAGCTGGGTTAATCCTTGGACTTGATCTTAAAGGTCTTTTCCAACCTAAATGAGTCTACATTTCTCTGATACTCTGACATCCAATGTTTGGCAAGGTAGTCTAAAGTGATAAAAAAGAATCCCTTTCTGTTTCTGTTTCTTCTTCTGTTCGTATTTAAGATATTTAGATTTCATGACAATTGCCAAATTTCATTCACATTTCCCCCTCCCTTCCTGTCCTGCTAACCTTACTGCAGACCTCAGATACCGTAGATTCAGCTCACATCCAGATATCCATCCATCTTAACTTACTGTTGGTAGCAGTGTTGTGACAGCTGTTCCTTGTGTCAGGACTGACTATCTGGAGAGAGCATGGGAATATGACAAAAGGGCCATTGTGACACCAAGTTTGTAGAAAGGAAATTAAGGAACATGTTTCAAATACAGTTAAATTATGACAGCTCTCCAGCTTGCACAAAAACACTTTTCCCTGTGTTTTCCTACTAGTAGTATTCTGTGTTTTTAAATTTTTTAATCAAGCCCTTGCTACAAGACTCTAACTGAAAGCAACTTTGCCTTTTATTTCCAGCCAGAAATGACACCTTCCAAGAACACAGGCCTCCAGTCTGAAATGTTTGTCCAAGCTGTGGTGCCTTTGTGTACCTCGTAAATATTGATGTTCTGTGGCTTTAGCTATGTTATTTTATTACAGGAAAGCTCACAGATTTATTTTATTACAGGAGAGCTCACAGATTTCACTAGATGGGCTTTCCACAGAGTCTTATCAAAAAGATATAAAACCCTGACATTTTACTCTCTGAAACACGTGATCAATAGAACAATAAATTACAGACCCATATGAGCACCTGATTTACTAAAAGCAGGATTTGAAGCTCACAGTTTACTTTTGGACCCAACCTGCTTCAGCACACACTGTTTGCTGTTGCTGAAAACAGGTGCCTCCAGCTCTGTGACTTGGGAGGTTGGTGTGCTCCTCAGTGGCCCAAGTGAGGTCAGCCCAGAGATGTCAAATCCAAAATGTTTCAAAACACTGGAATGAGAAAACATAGCCCAGGACACAGATTCCTGTCCTGGCTTAGTCAGGGCTGGGTTGCAGGTTCTGGAAAGCTGATCCACAGATGCCAAGAATGATTTAGCCAGTGACAGTGTGTGGAAACTGGCTGTGCAAGCTGTTGCAACATACAGTAAGAGCTGCAAAGGCAGCAGGAGTATTAGAAGTCCTGTGCTACCACAGCAGTCTGTGCCAAAGAAAATCCCCATAAAGACCATTTACAGACATTCTCTGTCAGAGGTTGGTTAATAAGATGGATAGCAAGTGAGATAAGTGGCAATTCCCTAAGAGAGCTGTGGTTATTCCCATACTCCAGAGATAAAGCAAGGTGTGAGCAATATCCAGGAAAAAGGGAGAAGTGATATAAAAAGGAGAAAGATCTGCTTTTGCCATGACCCAAGCACTTTCTCCAGGGCAGGAGAGAGCACAAATCAGAAGCAGGTTTGCTCTTAGAGAAGGGATTAATCACGAAGGGAAAATGCCTTGTCATGCTGTGACTCAGCTGAAAATGTTGCTTGCCTGGAAGCAGCTGGAGGACACAGCCGGGACACAGCAGTGAGTCAGGAAAATCTGGGCTTTGGGCTGCTGCTTTCACCCTTCCTTCCTGCCTTCATTTAGCAATCTGAGCATCTAGGTATGCAGTGATTGCTTATAAAGAGTTACCACATATTTCCTTGTGTAGCTGGGCTAGATTTTGATTGCACAGGAGAAATGGAAGTACAGATTACATTGTTGCCCTTTTTGGGAAGTGCTTTTTGGCACTGATCTTTTTTCAGCAGCTCCTATTGTATGGTGCTAAGTGAAACAGAATAGTGAAACACAGATGAGCCTTCTAACATTACCGTGGTTTGAATTCATGGTAACACAGACCTGGATCACCACCTTTTCCACGGGAAAAAGAAGAAAATGGGAGGAAGAAATTCTGCCACCACAGCCTTATACTATGTAGTGTTTTCAGGGGAAGATGCCTCCAAAAAGAGGAGATACCCTTTAATAAATCATATGTTATCCTTTCAGAGAAAGAGAGCAAGGGCACGGGAGCAATGGAATGTGTTTCCAAGATGATTGGCTAATTTGGTTTCCACCTCATGGAGTGAAAAATAATAAGACTCACCCCCAAGAAAGGCATTGTGAGGATAGGATGCTATCCAAATGCTCTCTCCATGTGATTCTCTTAAGTGGTGCTGCAGAGCAAAAAATGGTACCTGAGTACCAACTCATGACATGAGTTAAAGGAGTTTTTCAGAATTTTAGGCTGTCCTGCTCATGTTTTTGGAAAAGTTAATTTTGCCAAACCCATCAGATGAACCTACAGTGGTTTTGTTTTCACTGTTTGATGTTACACAGCAGTTCTGAAGACCCCAACCAAAAGCAAATATCACGTCTCTAACGCACTGTGAAGTTACATAACAGAACTTCCACCAGAAGTTCCACAACAGAAGTTCTACACCAGAACTTCCACCCCCTCTACTCCCTACCCCGATTTTATAACCCAAGATGCAGACAATAGGCAGGAGGTAAATAGGAAAGGGAACCTAAGTAAAATAAAGAGCCTAAATAAAACCTAAATATAACTAAATAGCAGAAAAGGGAAATGTGACACACAGTGACATTGAGACAGCTGTGATTACATGACCTAGTCACAGCTGGCTAATTGCAAGATGTTTCTGGATCCTTTGTGTGATAGACAGCATGAAAAGGTAGGATTTGGTGAAGACAAAATGATCCTGTCATGAGTTTGAAATAGTGTAATATGCAAAAGCTGTGAGGTCTCTTATTTACTGGATGCATTCATGGATTTACTGCAAGACCATGAAACTCAAGCTGAGATTCTGCAATGTCATTTTTATCAGTCATGGTGAACAATCACTTTCCTTGTTGCTGTATTTCTCTTTCAAGCCTCATTGCTCAGCACTCTGGTATTTTCTGAAATTAAAATGGGCAGTGCTGGTGGGTTTTTCTCCTGAAAATTCTGCTGACAAACCCTGGCAATGTCTTAGAACACCCTGCTGTGTTGGGCCACTGACGAACAATGAGCCAAGAAGCTGTTTGTGGGAAGTGTCAGCATTCCCTACAGATGAAATTAGAGGCATGAGTTAAATTCAACTTCGCAAGCACGAGGCATGCATACTCACAGATGTAGCTAAGTCAGGCGCCTGGCTCAGGCCCTGGTTTCTAATCTGCCTGAGCAATACAGTTTCCAACCGAGACTGCCAGAGGTCATCCAAGGACCGCCATGACTTCACTGGTGTCTCTCCTGGGGACGGCTGTGCACGCAAGCTCAAAGCTGCACGTAGCTTCTCTTACGAGTCCGCTCAGAAAAGTAACCCCCTCTTCAGGACTAGTTACAACACAGGTCATAGCTTACCATGTGTTAAGGAAAGATCTGTGCCAAAACAGAAAAGGATGGCAGTAATCCTTCCTATACCACATTGCTTATTCCCTATTCATCTTCCCTCACTCTTTTGCCTCCTCTCCAGCAGCAGCACAGGCGAGAACCAGATCTGGAAACTGTTCTATCTGAAATCCATACCTCACCATGTGTTTCTCTTTACTGGGGGCTTACTGTTGGTTGAACACACATCAAAATTCAGTCTAAGAAAAATTTAATAGGCTATTCACCAGTCTACTGACTTACTTGTACTGCCATTCCTTTGCTTTGATCCAAAGGTATGAGATTGTTCCCCAAAACTTCAAAACAAACGGCAAGAAAATACCAAAGAAATTAAAAAAAAAAAAAAAGAAAAACCTTGAAAAACTCTATACAGACTTTTGCC